CCTCTGACGGACACCTACGACGGACCGTCGTACATGTGACGGTCCGTCCTGCACATACCATCATACTTGTAAGAGACTCTCCTTCAGGGTTCTCCATATAAACATAGTCCAACTAAAACAAGACGGACCCCATGACGGTCCGTCGTACTCATGACGAGCCGTCACCTGGTCCGTTGTGTTTCACTGTTACTGTAGCAATGTCTTTTTATTTTAATTTTTTATTTATTTATTTTGTGTGGTTTTTATTGTCTTGTTTGCTCCTTCTAGAAATAATATTGATCCTTTACAGGTACTATCTACTATGGCACCACAACAAGATCGAGTCTATGCACGTGGGCAATCGAAGTCTGTCGCCCCGTCTGCCCACTTGGTTATTGGCCTTGATGATGAGCGTGACCCCGAGTACGTGCCCCCAGGCACTTCCACCCCATCCCGTGCTGCACGTGCTTCCAGAGCCACACCCAAAAAGGTGGCGTCCGGCGTAGTCATTGCCTCCCAGTCTGATGAGGAGCACACACTGACCAGCACAACTTCTGGGTCAGCCACTAATGAAGAAGAAGTGTCTGGATCCTTAGGAGTTTTGTGGTCGGAGGATGCCTTCGGATCTGCTGTGTCGACCTCGTCTAATGAGGCTGACAGTTCGAAATCCACACCCGGTTCATCAGCTTGTGTTGTCACCCCGATTACTGACCAGCCTAATCGGTGGTGTGTCGACGGGCAGTTTAAAGTCTATTCTGATGCAAAGTTCCTGAATGACAAAGGAGTTATGACTCTGACACTTACATTGGAGCGGCGGGTCCTTACGGTAAGTCTCTCGATGATGCCTGAGATCCACAATTTCTTCACCAGACATCGACTGGAGTGGACAGCACGTCCGTTGGGACGTTATAGTGAAGAGCTGGTCCGAGAGTTCTATGAATCCTACGTAGCGACTCTCTGATCACAGATTGATAGGCGGGCTGTCCCCACCAAACAGGCCCCACTGGAGCAGGTCAAAGTATGTGGCGTTCAGGTTGATATCTCCCTGCTTGCCATCCGCCGATCTCTATAAGGCAAGGATGTTGATGCTAATCGGACCCCTCTCACTGCCGAGTTTGACTACCAATGGCATATTGTTAAAGATGGCCAATTTCTGTGTGAGCCATCGCTGAGAGAGACCACCAAGAGGTAAATGTCCCTGCACTTGTCCGTTGATGGAGAGGGTTCCGACTGAGTGATCGAGTCGAAGGGGGCCATCAACAAGGCCAACCTGACTTTCACGACGAAGTTTTTGTGGTTGATTTTCTGCCACTGCCTTTCCCCCACAGCCGCTGATAATATCGTCACATGGGATCGAGCAGTAGTGATGGCGGCGATGATAGTCGGGTTTGAGGTGGATTTTGCGTGGATTCTACAGGCGGTCATAAAAGCCCACAACTACTTACCCTTTCTCGTGCATGATATTTTCTCTATGCAGGTCCACAAGGTGTGCCTATATGGCACGTTGTTCAGCTCAAGACCCCTCTGGTCACTGTTGATATCGACCTCATCAGGGATGAGGCCAATGAGTTGGCTCCACGCAGAGGGCCCCGTCCATAGTTGCCTCCACTTGTTGACAATCTGGCTGATACAGTAGCACAAGCCCGCACGGCTACGCAGGCGGCTTCCACTGACACTACCCCGCTCGAGTCTGTCCCGGGTAGTAGCACTGCCCCGAGCTCCTCTCGCTCATCCCCTTTACCCGCTCTTGTCCCGCTTGCTAGGGTCCAGAAATTAGAAGCACGAATGGCTACACTTTTGCATCATATCCAGCCTTGGATGCAGAGTTCTATTGCCGAGGCAGAAGAGCGCTTGAGCGGAGAATGGTCCAGCACACAAAGCGGAAGATCGCTGAGGTTCATCAGCGCTTGGACGCTTTAGAGTTGCGGGTGCTAGCCCATCCAGCCCCTCCGATGAATGTGTCGACCCTTCAAGCTGCGGTCGACAGTCTTCGCACAGATATTGATATGATCTTAGAGGCTAGGGTGCCTGAGTCTGAGGCCCCTTCTGCAGAGCCTGCTGAAGACACAGTGATGGCAGCCCTATTCTCCACTTCAAAGATTCCACCAACTCCCCCTCAAGAGAATGACAAGAGCCTTAGGGGTCTAGAGGAGGATAAAGCTCGAGGACGGAAGAAGGAGCGTCGTGAGATGGAGGCTGCGAGGAGAGCCTCGCTTGCTGAAGAGGAGGCGTCTCAGATGAGAGCAGGAGAGTTAGCTGCTGGAGCATCTAGCTCCAGAACTGTGGAGATAGTGGGAGGCATTGCTGATAGTGTTGTTGATGCTGAGGACACCACTGAGGGTGACTAGATTACAGAGGTAGTGGGTTTCGGGGAACCGGACCCACCAGTTTGCTGATCGTTGGCGCTTTGTGCCCCAAGTTTGCTTCACGCTTATTTCCATTGTATCCATATTTGGGTTCACATGAGCATTAGCCTCTTTATTTCCTTGAATAATCATATCTTGACCCAATACTTGAAAAGGAGCTCGGAACTCTACACTAGTCACTTTTTTGGCCAACAGGTCGGCTGGAACTTTAGAAGATTCTTGTTGCATAATCTGATTCCCATTCCTTCTAGCGTATGCTCCTCGAGGGGCCATACCTTAGAAACATGGATAAGGATTACGAGAGATACATAGAGAATTAACCTCTATCACATAAAATTAGAGTGTTGAAAGAAGTGGATTGCCTGAACGTCTCATAGATTCCTATTCATAAATGTGGCGCACTTCAAACTCATGAGCAATACTCTACTCGACGGGGCTTGTGAGACATCCAAACACCTTTCTAAACCTTGTGCTCTAAATATCTAGTTTGTCATGATCTAAAGTATATGCTAGGTGTAACATATCATATAAAGAACACCAAAATATACTTCACAAGACACAGCATGCATCAATAAAGATAATAGAAATAAAGATTTCAAAAGTTGCATTGCGTATTCCAAAAGAGTTCGACAAAGCGAAAGTCTAACATAGTGTCTACAAGCCATCTAAAATATCAAAGAAAGTGATTGGGACGTAAACCATACACCACATACATCATCCTAAAGCTATAAACGTATAAACCAATCAAAGTGTCTCAGTCCTGGAAGTTTGAGGACTCACCAACTCTTGAATCTGATAGAATGATTACCTAGCCACATGTATGAGAAGTAGGAGCGTCAAACCCTAAATTAACAAGACAATATTGGTGCAAGTATGTATTAGTGCACGTAATGTACAAAGTATGACGCAATATACATAAATAAATATGATAAATGAAGAACCTTACACATGTGAGATATGACCAACAATAGATCTTAAGGAAGCAACAACATGTATTCATAAGACGTTGTCAACTCATTTAAAATAAGAGACATAAGAATGTTATTTTTGGAGAAACATATTCATTTTGTGGGATATTAACTATAATTGACAATAAGACCATGAGAGTTATATCATGGAATCTGGTTTCTCATGCCGAAAAAGTGGATTCTACTTGCCAAGGTAGAATTCGTACACATCACTTTTTGTTAAAGTGGATCCATTAGCTTGGTCATTTAATATAATTGTATGGGGGAAAATATTTAGAGACTAGAGGTTCCTTCTAGAGACTACCCTATCTGAGCCTTCACCTCAAAGCCCTCTCGATACTAAGTCTAAATCTCAACGGAAAAGATAAAATTATATATATTTATAATATAGGAAATGCAATTATCAATACCTGTCCACACCTTAAATATCAAAATATTGAATATATCCTAAAGTACAATTCAAACATATGTGAGAAACCTTTCACCAAGTAAATTCATATGTGAGAAATACCTTTCACAACCACGATCATATTAATATGGAGGAATGGACTCCATGGGCGAATACCTGCATACCTTGCCTAAGATGAATGGTTAATCGATGACCTTAGAGTGAACCCAAGCTTCTTCTTTTTAATTAGGTTGAGAGGTAATTTAGGAGAGTGAATATGTTTGGGTTCTTGGGAAATAGGAGAATGGTTTTTTAGTAGGTCGATGAAGGACTTACAAAATTATATAGATCATAGGATTGAAGCTAAAACGACATAATATAGGCTGAAAACATTTAGGAAAAGACTCAAAAGACCTTCAGTTATACCTACAGATCATACATATTTCTATGGCTGATCTTTCTACAGAAACGTAAACTAAGTATGGGAACCTAAAAATCAGCCAACGTTTTACGATACCCTTCTACGGTCTGTATGACTTCTACGACCAACCTACGAGACCCGTATATGACTCATAGGCCATTTGACAAAATGTCCTCGTCAACCGTAGGATAGGGTACTGGACTTGATTTCAAAAATTATTTTCTCATATCTATGAGACTGGTGATGACCTGTAGAAATTTCTATGAACCATAGAATGGTCTTGTAGACCTAAACCAATAGTGAAAATTCATGCAACCTATTCCCTTATCGAAGTCTAAGGTGTTAGACATGCCTCTTGTCACTCTTTCTGCTTGGGTTGAGAGTTGATTCAATATTGTGGTTATTTCACGTTCCAGGTTGATGCTAATGATCTGAGTCTGTTATGTCTAGTTTGAGGTTGTTATTTCCACTTTGAGGTTGATGCTTATGGCTCCTGGCTATGACCTCCAGTAAGAGGCCATCGCTTGGGGCTTGAGGCATTGCGTACACTTATTAGATCTGGATTTGAGGCACTTCACTCTCATCGTCTTAGCTAATCTATGTACCTATTAGGCTTATAGGTTTTGTTCAAATTTTATTTAAACTTGCGCACAAGTGTACCTTCAGGATTATAGGGACCTAGCTAGGTTTAGTTTACTTGTACTTATATTTTCTTTTGATATGCTCGTGTGCTCTTTTTAATATTTGCTAGTTACTCTAGTTTTATCTGTATTCTATATTTCATACTATTTTTACCTTTGTTTCTCAGTCGGTCTTTGATGCATATTGAGTACCTTTTATTTTTGTACTCATGCTACCCTCATGATGTGGATCCTAGTACCAACTACAAGTGGTGATGGTTCATGCTATACATATATATAGCTATATATATATATAGCTAGTTTTTCTGCCTTTGAGGTGACTTGTTGTGGTCCGATTTTGGGACTTCTATTTTTCATATTAGACAACACTGTACTCGTGATTTCAAGGTTTATGGAGGGATTCTATTGTATATAGATTTTGTTTGCTTCCGCTTTTGTCATATATATTGTCTAGTATTGGTTATGCCTAGTTCTACACTTTACTCATTACTAGTCATTCTGAGTATGGTTTTAATTAACTACTGATCGGTTATAGCAGGTGTCATCATGACTCGAGGGATCAGATCAGAGCAAATCTTGATAGTATTTTCCAGAAATTTTCTTAAGTGTCACCATCTTAAATAGGCCAAGGCGTGGAATTCAACTTCCAACCTTGAACAAAAGTATAAAGGAATTTATGCAACTTAGTTTAATTAATAAGAACTTTATCTATTTTCCATTCAAGCACTTTATAATATGAAGTAGTACTACAGATGATGTTGCCAACATACAATTTATTTCTAACATTCTTAGGTCCTTATTATTATTCATACTTTAATATATGTATGACACCCTACAAGCATTTAAGATGATGTCTTACATACTGAAATAAGTAAATTAAAAATCAAAATATCAAGAGTCTATGATTTATTAAATGGACCACATATAAAAAATTAGACAATTAAAAAGAGATTATTTGTCATTGATTGATCGATCCAAGTTTCTGAATTCTTCTCCATTTAAAGATTCATTGAGGAAAACACCATCTCATTCCCATGCATCATTCTCAAGTGTGTTTTCAACATGATATTCATAGTCTCCCATGGTATTCTCTTGATCATTGTGATAAAATATTTATAGTGAGCATTTGTGTGAATATTATGATAAAAATGAATTTATAAGAAAATAAATAAAATTAATTACCAAATCATAATAAGAATAGAACTTTGAACTAACCTCCATGGAATAGTTTAATCCATTAATATTAGAAGTTATTCCATTGCTTTGAGCTGAAGAATGATCATTCAGTTGAATGATGTGACTGTTGTTATTATTATTATTAATGTTGTCATTCCAATTTGAATGGGCATATTCCAAACCTAATTGGGAGGGATTGTTCAATTGTGTACCCTTAATGACGAGTGTACTCGAGTTAGGCCTGGACATAGAAATAGAGAGACAGATCGCGCGCTAAGCAATCATATACTGTTAAACAAGAAAAATACCAACATAAATAATAAAATATAATTCACTTGTCCCACTTTTATAATTATTATAATTTAGTAGTCTCTTTTTTATAATAATATGATCTCGTATAGAGTTAAGATGCATTAATAGTTATAATTCTGATTTCATCATTCTTTTTAGGCATGCCTTCTTTTTAAACAGATAAAATATTATCTCTCAAAAATAATAGATTGTCAAATCAAAAAATATCAAAAGAAACTTTGTAGAAGCGCAATATTTTGTCAGGAGTTCATAATAGAGTTGTCACTACTTTCATCGAAAGTCACTTGTGCCTGAAAAATATATGACTTAACTATTTCAGTACAAGGGATGGGAGTGGGGTGCGCGAATGATTTAACAAGAAATAATATTTCAAAAATATTAATGTACCTGTGATTTTTCAAATGTTTGTGTCGCGTTCTGCTGGACATCTACCACCATGTTTTGCTCTTGACTCTATTGTGCAAACAAATAATTGTATAAATAATTAAAAATATATATCATTCTTTTTATAAAGATCTTAGTTACTGCACATTAAAAAGTGTTACCTGAAATGGGATATAAGGTGACGGGTCTTGAATTTGAGAAAATGGTATATTTCTAGACCATGAAGAACTTGCAAAGAAATGGGTATATATGTAATTGCTAAAATAGTTTGATATTCTCTTTCTTTTGTCCATTTGATCTTGACATATGTTTCCTTGGATACTTGAACTATAATAACGAAATAATAATTAAATTAAATGAATAAAAAAGGAGAAGAAATTTTTCGTAGAAAAATAACCTTTGAAAAAATTAATGACCTGTATGGATTAATCCAATTAATAATATCAAACTGTTGGAGAGTTGTTTGTTGGGAAGCAAATTGAACATCCATGTTTCCTTGTTTCTCCAATTCCATCTTATCAAAATTCATCTGACATTAATTAGGATCTTACATAGTTTCTATAAAATTAATTATTTTCTTAAAATATGAGATTTCTCTTTAATCTTCAATGATAAATCTAGGAAAAAATATTGGGGTGAAAGAACAAACTTTTCTAGCCTTGATTTTTTGGAGAGATAGTTGCAAGTTCCTCTCACGCCAAGAAAGTTGATGAAGAGAAGACTTTTGATCTGGTCCTGGTTCGTAATCCGTACAAATTCATGTTGTTAGGTTGCATATATTTACAACTTCTTTAACTTGTTAGTATACTACATTTAGACAATCAAAATGGACTACTCCTTCACTTCACAGAGAATGATCTAGCTT